CCTGTATGATGGCCATGGAAATTTAGAATCGACATATAGTTTAACACAAAACAACTTATTCTTCCAACTGAAAAACAACAAAAACGTCTAACTTTTCTACAAAACTTGCTAACACGTACACTGGGATGCAAATAAGAACAGTGTGCCGTTGTATGTTTACGACGAGTAGATATAGCATAAAGGAACCTGGAAAGGCAGTTATTGGTTTGATGGAAAGAGCAAACAGTTACTTCAGTAAGAATATACAGACCTTGTCATGTACAATTCTGAGAATATTTTCATTGTTTTCGAATAGAATGCTTTTCTAGTGAAGACATGCTGAATGATAACTATAACAAGAGTTTATGTTCTTACTGCTGGGCTGAATCGAAAATGTTGTCAATTACCTTTTGGAGCCTAAGCTACGCAAAGCCACATTAATAACTTTGTTTAATGTACATCATCAATTGCTACCTTGCATCGGAGAAAGCGTGATGAATTCTTATGAAAATCTGTAAGTTTTGAGTTATAAATTCTTTGATAATTCTGCCCGTGAGACTTGGAACCCAGGACAGTTATACTCTATTGTAATGAGGTCTATATTTACAGCAAATATATTAGCAAGGATATAAGTAAATGAAACCAATTCATGCGCTGCTGCATTCAACACAGAGAAACTTACTGAGCTTCAGCAGGTGGTTGCACCTCTAAAAGTGGTGTAACTGTTAATGAGAGGCCTCTGGTCTACATTATATCTCTAATAACTTTGTGATCCCAATCTGGTGAATTTTTTTTCATGCTAGTTCCTCGTTTTTTCTTTTCTGTAAATCAGAAGAACTGATAAAGTGGTCCTTTCTCATTCTAAAAATGATAATGCTCATGTTTCTAGATACAGGCAATAAGCTATTGACTAGCATGCTTTTATTTCTCCTTTATGTAAATTGAATTTTACAATTCAATTATCAGTATTCAAATATCAATTGAATGATATTTGAGTATCATAAGCACATCAGCGTACGAACATTAACATAAAATAAAGCGCTATTGGTCCCATGGTTGCTTCACAAGCATGCGTGCTTGAGTGTAAGCAGACAGAAAGCTCATGATAGCTAAGACGGTGGCCACTTCATTCTTATTATTTGTCATACCTATCAACTAGTCATTAGTTGATTAATTTATTTAAGGTAAGAGGGGGCAACATTTCAATTGTCCTATATGGATTTCCCTTTAAACTGCATGTCAACCATGAACCAGATAACTGGATGAAGTTTCCTATAATCCTTACTCCCTCAAAGATCCAGGTAAAATTGTTCAGTAAATGTCTCTCTCCTATTAGTTATCCGGCTCCTGCCCGGAATACCAAACCAAGTAGAAAAATATATGCAGATTCACTGAGTGTCAGGAGAGCGTTCTTGGTTATAGACAGCTGCAACACCTTGCAGACATTCGTCTGGAAAATTACACTGAAAACTGGATAGAGCTGGCATCACTTTGCAGATATGTTAGCACTAAAATATATGCGCTGGTGCACAAGCAAGTCGATTCTTAATTTTCAAAAACGCAGCACTGTGATAATACAGGGAAGCCTTTCACTTGCTTCCAACATCATAGCCATCTTTTCATTAACTTCAGTTGTATTATTATATGATTTAAGTGTATATAGAACACTGAACAAAATTTTATTAAGGAGGACATTATTCAGACCAATTCAGTAGTTCCTTAACAGAAGGGAAACTGTCAGGGGAGGAACAGGAATCTTTTTCTCGTGGATATATTGCGATCAGCTCAAAATGCATCTTAAAATAAATGTTTATTCGAGCTCAATTCTTATCAAAAATAAAGTACCTTACTTTCCATTTATAAAATAAACTTTTATATATAAATTCATTATCTTAAGAAATGTCATACCAAGTGATAAACTCACGAGGGCTTACGAATAGCAGAGAAGAGCTAATTCTAGCTTTGTAGTTGATTAATTTTTACAGTTTTGCTGAAATTATTTGGCATGCACCTTCCTTTTCTTTATAAATTAGATGCACAGTTGTCCTTTCAGGTCACAACACTAACAGCCACCAAGCTTGCGAAGCAGCTGGAGAACTAAATGTATGGGAAGCAGTCTCAGAAATTCCATGGATGAGCTTCACAGTGCTTAAGTAAACGTCGGGTATTAGATGGCAAAGACTTTTGCTTACACTGCCAAGGTCTGAACTATGAAAACCTAGGTCCCACCTTTAGGTTCTTCAATGTGTGAACTTGAAAAATGGTTTCAGTCACTCTGCAACACATGTCTAGTGTAAGTATTAAATGTCCCTAGAGCCTGTGAAATCAACCCAACAGAAATGGAAGACGGAAAGTGTGTGTAAACACTATTTTCAAACTTTTTCTGGGGAGTCCTTGACTTCCTACACTGTGTCCCCAGATATCACTTAAGAGAAACACTTTCAAATACCCACTTTTCCTGCAGAAAAAACTAAAAGAAACATCATTTCCATTTCATCAGTATAAATAGAGAAGTATAATAAGGCAGTTCAGGAAATAAATAAAATGAAGGCATCGTAGCAAGTGAAATCTCCTGCTTTAAACAGTCCCCTAAGGAACTGAAAAAGTACACCTCTCAAATCTAATACACTGAAAGAAGTCTCAAATATTAGATAAATTCATTTATCAAAGGAGGAAAACAGCAAAATCCTTTGTGTATTTAAAAATGAAACTAAATAAAGCAAAACATGTCTTAGTTCTGTGGAAGCTAAATCTTTTACAAGCAAAACCAGAGAAGTAGCTACGTATGATAGAAGCAAAAATCCAGACCAATTGAACTGCGCTCATGTCAGATGGCACAACGGAAGTTGGAAATGGATCTCTTGTCCCCTGACAGCAATATTGAGCAGATGAAGGATATCAATTACTATTACTAATTACATTAGGGGGAGTGTGTTTCATTTGCTTTTCTTTTTATTGTAGGTCAGCTGTTTACTTGTGGTTAAAACTTTGTACATTTTTGGAATGCCTAATGGCATGCAAGGTTTCCAAAGTCACCTTTGCCAAGCTAAGTGATTCATTCCACCCACTTTGTAGGTTTTCTATTTTCGCAAGTGGATTTGGTTCAATTAAAAGACAAATGCCATACATTAGTTAATCTATGAACATATCACTTTGCTTTTCAAATGGCATGTTAATTGTCTTGACATTTGATATTTTTTAAAAAAACTTCAAGAATATAGAGCTATGCTTTTAAATGAATCAAATGTAGCTCAAGTTTACACCCCAGACTTCCTGTGGTGTTTACAGACACTATTTGTAAGTTTTCCATTGTATATAGCCACTCAAAAGCACACAACTAAACAATTTAGAATACAAATACCACTCTACCACAGGGCAAAATCCCTATTGGTATGGTAATAGAGATAAAACTATTCTGTGTAAAGCTATCTTCACATTATGCTGCATTAATGCTATCATTTTCTCAGGAAATTTAAAGACCTCAGTTTATTTGCATGTGTATGTAAATAATATGAAAAAAGTGGTGCATTTTCATTAGAGTCATGCTTATTTCCAAAACTGATGAAGGCATTAAACACCAGGCCAAAACACATCTGCTTTTAACTCTACGTAAAGCAATAACATAACAGATATAAATTCTCTGCAGGATCAAACTGTTTTCTCAAATAATGAAATAATTCAAGTTTACATGCATCCAAAGATCTGTTTTCAAAAGCCACTTCATATACACTAGTTCAAACCTACAGTCTTTACTGCTTTTAAGGCTGGATTTTTTTAAAAAAAAAAAAAATCTTAATTCTTCTTCTTCTTAACCAAAGTAAAATTCCACAAGAAGAAAATATTTTAATAATACTGAAAACTATGAGAGCTCAATATTTTCTGAATAACATTAAGTGAGACTATATAACAACTTCTTCCTCCATCTCAATTCTTCTCAGATGAAGCATTCTACATGCAAAGCATGTCCAGTAAAAGAACCATCACATTATATCATCTAGCCAGTCATAACTGTAATTCTTAAGGTGAATTTTGTTAATAAGAGACTTGGGAAGCATTCTTTGCAGGGTTTGCGGCAGCATTTTAGCAATGTCTGAAAGACTCCATTTGCTGTGTGTCAAACTTTGGTGGACATAAAAAGTAAACTTCTGTATAATAACTACCACATGAGAAAAGTGCAAAATAAATCTGACATATTCAGAAATTCCCCTCGACATATGCATGTATGTATATAACCATTTTAAAATTATACCAGGGAATAGTTACTCCAAATAACACAAAAAAGTAATACACATAACCTTGGTATTTCTAGTATATCCCAAATCACTCACAAGTATCTTGTACTGAGTACAACCTAATTTTGTTTATAAGCTTTGGAATACTGAATATGAAGAATTCAGGTGGCTGATTGTATATAAACATAGTTGCCTACTAATTATAATTAAACGGTGTTATAAATACAAAGAATTAAAAATGCAATTATGCATGACACTTGCTTATCATTAAGTACTTTTAAGGCACTATTTTCATCAAATCAAGTCAGTATGGCAGGATTTCAAGATTTTGGACTTGGCTCTGCATTTGGATGAATCAGTAAATGCTGACTTGTAAAACCCTGCATGATTCATGAAACAGTTAAAACTTTTCAGTGCCCAATTATCATGACCACCAATAGTTTCTCTACAAATTTTCACTTAGATGTCTCCCAATTAAGATACACATATTTATCCTGTAAAACATAAAATATGGGTGAAGGAAGGCTGTCCGGTGTAAATAGAAGCACAAAACACTACCACTTCCTTAGGGCTTACAAAGCTAGGGACTAGCTTGCAAAATAAGAAGGGCACACCTCTGTCCTCTAAGGCTTCTGCTACATTAATGTCGTATAGATGAAAATTAAACTCATGGTTTTAAAACTAGAAGGACCTTTGTGAAGGAAAGACACAACCTCACAGAAGCTGCAAGTTGTCTCGAAGTGACCAGCGCTCTCTGGGATATGTAAATGTATCTGGGATCCATCTTACCTGTTTGCTGTACTTGTTATTGGTTTGACAGCTGTACTCAGAGCAGTGATCTGATCCAATGGAAATGTTGTCTCCTGCTCCCACAAATGTGTTGGCTGGTGGTAGATCTTGTACAGCCTGATGTTTTTTCCCTGCAGTTGGTGACTGGGGGTGAAGCTGGACAGTTGGCAAGGGGGAACTAGATTTGTAATGCCTTGCCAGGTCGGGACTGCCAGGCCCACCATTAACTGATCTGTATCGGCCCATGCTTGGGCTGTCAGACAGCTTCTCATTGACACTATCATACCTCTGTCCATTTGGTTTAGAAGCTTCGACAGTGACAATGCTGCTGTAGAGTGGCTGCTTAGATTTTTTATTTTTCTTGTCCTTTTTAGGCTTCTTAGATTTGTCATGCTGTTGGGGTGTAAAAAAGTCCTCGTGGTCCTTTTTGCCAGCTTCGTAGCCATTTTTATTTTTGGACCTGCAATATCTGGCCATCATGACGATTAAAATGATTAGAATCACTGTCATAATGCCAGCAACCACCCCAATGACAATACTGAGTCTCTGCTTGCTAATTTCATAGCTTGGGTCACCAGCTATATCCTGGGTGAGCGGAGTGTGCAAACTTCGGACAATCTGAGAGTCAATCACTGTTGCATTGGAAACACTTTCATTGACAAATACATGCACCAAAGTTGTAGTGGACTGGGAAGGCTGGCCGCTGTCATTCACTTGCACAACCAGCCTATGCAAGCCATAGTGCTTTTGGGTGAGTTTCCCTACTAAAGAAACCACGCCACTGGTGGGATCAATCTCAAACAGCTTGAAAGGATTCCCTCCCACAATGCTGTAGTTCAAGTCCGCATTGATGCCATCGTCACTGTCTGTGGCCAGCACTGTCGCTACTACTGTCCTGACATTACTTGAAGGTGGCAGCAACGTGTAGGAAATGTTTCTGGGAAGGGTAACCGTGGGAGCGTTGTCATTTTCATCCATCACAAAGAGGGAGACTGTGGCTGTGGCCGATCTGGGAGGATCTCCCCCATCCACAGCCTTCACTCTGAAAGTGTATGTAGTCTGATGTTCCCTGTCAAAAGACATTGTGGAGTAAATGGTCCCTGTGTCATTCTCAATAGAAAAAATGTTACTGTTCTCCTCTATGTACAGGCTCATCTCCGCATTCCGTCCCTTGTCGGCATCCATCACGGTGACCATTCCCACAGGGCTGTTGGGCTGCAAGTTTTCCTTCACGTAAAAGGTAAAGACGTCCTGCATAAACTTAGGATCGTTGTCGTTTTTATCAGCCACCTGTACAATCACCGTGGTGCTGCCCTGCAGCACAGGAATGCCTTTGTCTTTGGCATTAACTTTAAACTCATACCTGTCAGTCTGCTCCCGGTCCAGGACTGTATTGACCAGGATGTCCCCAGAATCGGGATCTATGGCAAAAGTCCCCATCACTGAGGAGTCCAGCGAGTAAGCAATCTCTGCGTTCTTCCCACTGTCAGCGTCTGTCGCCAGCACGGTGGCTACCCTCTCACCTGGAATGTTGTTCTCTGGAAAGTAAACCTCAACGACAGACTGACCAAAGACAGGAGGGTTGTCATTGGTGTCTCCCACTTTGACCACCAAGGAATTGTTGCTGGAGAGGCTAGGACTGCCAGAGTCCACAGCTACTATGACCACGTTGAACTCCCGGGTGGTCTCATAGTCCAGTGGGGCCGACGTGTGCAGGAAGTACTTTTTCTTGTTCTGATCGCCCTCTGTGTCGCTGGCCGGCTTAAGCTGGAAAGGCACATCTCCCACTACCGTACAGGTGACTACCCCGTTCTCGCCTTGATCTCGGTCGGACACCTGCACCAGGGCGATTGGCGTGTCCACCAGGACGTCCTCGGCCACGTTGGCCACCCCGTCCTTAAGTGGGATACGTCCTATCTTGCGAATTTCGATGGAGGGAACGTTGTCGTTCTCATCTTTGATGTTGAGGACCACGGTGGCCTTATCGGTCTTGGGGGGCTGCCCACGGTCACGGGCCATGACTGTGAATCGCAGCTGATTCACTTCCTCGCGGTCAATACGGTGCAAGACACTGAGCCAACCGGACGTTTCATCCAGACGCAGTAGCCTTCTTACCGACTCGGTAGCGGCCCCAAATACATATTCGATCTGTCCATTGACCCCCACGTCCAAATCGGCGGCGCGCAACTGCAGGATGGGGGTGCCTGGAGCGCTGTTCTCAGCCAGGTCAGCCTCATAAACGCTCTTCTCGAAGCGGGGGCTGTTGTCATTCACGTCGGTGATGAGCACCCTCAAGATGGCTTGTGAGGACCGAGGTGGATCGCCCCCATCGCGCACTCGGAGGGTCAGCTCGTAGGAGTCTCGCTGTTCCCGGTCCAGCGCCCCCTTCACTATTAGTTGCGGCTGTTTCTCGCCGTCTGGGGTGTCTGCCACCTGCAGCTCGAACACACTGCTTCGGCCACCAGGACCGGTTCCGCCGCCACCCTCAGGCACCTCCAGCCGGCGCTTGGAGCCTCCAGGGCCGCCGCCGCTCGCGCTGTTCCCGCCGCCCCCTGGGTAGGGGGCGCTGTCCGCCGGCCCCGAGCGTCTTCCTTCCCCGCCGCCACCACCACCCCCGGGCTCCTGGAGCAGCTCGTAGCGCTCGATTCCATTGCGACCGAAGTCACGATCGGTGGCCGTGGGCAGCAGGTAGAGTGTTCCTACAGGCCGGTTCTCTTCCACCGTGAGGGTGAGCACCGGTGACGGGAAGGTGGGCGTGTTGTCGTTGATGTCCAGCACGATGACCCGACCCTCAAACAGGTCCACCCAGCTCTGCGATGGCCCTATCACGGATACCTCGAAGTCCAAGAAACACTCATTCTCGTCGAAGATCATCTGACACTGGGGCAGTTTCTCTCGGTCAATGCGCCGCTCGCTGGTGCTCAGCTCGCCGGTGAGGTTGTCAATCTTCAGGTACTCAGAGCCAGACTCAAGGCTGAAAGTCACCTCGCCCGAGCCGGTCACGATGCCCAGGTCCGAGGCCACATTGCCGATCCGCACGTCGGCGGGGCCCTCCTCCGCCAGTCGGTACCGGAGCAGCTGCTTGGCGGCGGCCAGGCTAAAGCAGAGCGGCAGAAAGAGGCAACAGCCCAAGCACCAGCCGCGCGCCCATCCCGTAGTCCGCATCCTCAGCATCTTCTCTTGCTGCTGTTGCTACTGCTCCTTCTAACCACAACCCCCCTTGGAACCCCCCTCCTCCGGGGCTGGCCGCCTGCCCTCCCCTCGTTCCTCCTCTCCGGGAAAGGAAGAAACGAGAGGGAGGGGAGGGAGGGGGCCAGAGTAGCGTGTAGAATCGACCGATGGGAGGGGGCAGCTATAGATGCTTCTTTTTTTCTCCTCCTGCTTCTTCCGAAAGTTATTGTTTCATAATTCATGCAATGGGTGCTAATCGCCCTCTCGCCAGCCACCGTTCACTCGCAGTACTTACAGTTCACGGGACACTGCGCGCCACGGACTCGGTGTCTCCACAAAGTCATCCCTGCAGCGGGAATATCCTGACATCCAGTCCCCAAAGCTCTGGGAAAGGGGCCGGAACAGCTTCCGCAAGAGAGCAGTGTAGTCTAGAAGAGGAGTGGAGCAAACCTGCAGCCTTCCCCGCCTGCCAGCCGGGCTAGTCCTTACTGGAGTTAAGTCCAATTCACGTTCCAGCCACTCACTCTAGACCCAGTTTCTGTTTAGGCTCCGGAGCTCCAGACAAACGTGAGCCGCTTCCTGCAAGAGACTCCGGGGCCAGCAACAAGCCAGTCTCAACTCTGACTCCTCTTAAGCTGCCGGGAAGCCACTCAACATATGTTGAATGAAAAATTTCACGGCAGGTCGCTCCGGGCAAGGTGCAGCGAAGACGCCTCGAGTCACTGCCTGGTCTGCGATCGGGTGCCCCCGGCGCGCCAAAGAGCAGCCCGAGCCATCTTCAGAGACGCCGAGAGTCGGTCGCTCCTCACCCCGGAGAGCTCGGGTTTCTCTTTTTTTCTTAACAACTCTGCGCAAGGTCATTAGTCACGAAGCCACCGCCTGAAACCGCAGCAACCATCCGCCCGTAGGGGCTACAGTCGAACCGTGCGCACCGCGCGGTGCCCAAGTTTGGATTCTCAGCCGCAGAGTCCGTGCCTTCCCTCACCTGCATTCGGCCCGCGTGTTGGAGCAGAGGGATCTGCAGCGCTGTGCGCGATTCAGGGAGGAGATTGCAGCCTCTCTCTCTCCGCGCTCTCTCTCGATCCCTCCCCTCCCTCCCTCCTTCTTTCTCTCCCTCCCCTCTCTCCTCCCTCCTCTCCTTTCCCCTTTCCCCCCTCTCTCACTCTCTCTCCTGCACAGTCTCTCAGCTTCTTTCAGTCTCAATGCAGGGAACTCGAGCTGAACTTGATCCCTTTGCAGTTCAAAGGTGAGCAAGCTTGGCTCCGTGCAACCGCGACAGGGCCGGGTGAAAACGCACGGCCGGGCACTCCTAACGGCAATTAACAAAGATGCCCAATACTGTCCGGGTTTCCAAAGAAAAGCCAAAGGCACTGAGGCGGGGGTGGAGGGGGAGGTGGAGTCAAACAGAGCTGCCAAGTAGCTTAAAAAAAAAATCTAGTTTGCCAACGGGAGAAAAAGTGCCAGTCGGTTGTTGTCTCGGAAGTGCCCTGGCGCGGCGGGTGAATTCCGCAGTTGTCTCGTCCGCTTTTGCGTCTGGGAGAGTCTGGTGCGCGCGCTCCCGCCGTCTCTCCGGCGGTGGCTGTTCTGAGACACCGAATCGCCACAGGGAAGCTCCTACTCTCTCTATCCCCGAGCCGGAAACCCGCAAGTTTACATAAAGTGGTGGTTGCTGCGGAAAGCTCGTGGGTTCCGGACTCAGACTTGTCCCCGGCGCTGCAGCGGCGGCGGTGGTTTCTGAAACTACACAGTTGCAGAGAACCAGGGAGGAGGGCACCGGGAAGGGAGGCGGGAGGAAGGACCAGCCAGCCGCGGCGCTCACAGAAGCCCGGCTTCAGTTCGTAGGGTCGACTGGGCACTGCCCAATCTCAGTCCCTTTAAGCCAAAACCTAGTCCCCTTAGCCAGTTTGGGGAGGGGACTAATTGCTTTTCCCCTTTAGGACTGGGTAGACTTTTCTCCGTAGACTAAATCCGGCTGCGTGGGTAAAGGCTGTAGTGAGTGTTAGTATACCTTTCACCTACGTCCACCCTCAAACGATGTATTCCTCCCGCCCCAACTCCCACCCCCAACGCGTCCTCGCTTCGCAATTGAGCATCTGGGTTAGAGCATTGCTACTGATAGGCTGAGGACGTCGCCTGGGTCCCCACAGCGAGGCTTGTGTTCTGAAAAACCATGGCTGGCTGCAGTAGTGTTGAGAGACCGTCAAACTCCAGTGAGAGACGGAGAGGATCCTTTTTTGGAGCACGGACTTTGGAGGTCTGGGTTGGGGCGGGGAGAATGCCTGCCTTTGTTTAAATGCTTGGAATTCCTGTCAGCCGGCTTTCACTGGGGATAGACCTTGTGTGCACGCGCCTGGGGAATAAAACACATGCTAGAAGGATTAATATTATTATTATTTTGAGTAGAGCCTGCAGCCTTTAGTAAGTGACAAAGTGTAGCGTCACCTACCTGGATATAAGAGAAATAAACTTTAATGGCAACTTTGTGTACCGAGTGTGCTTAACGCCTTTTCTCTCCTTTTGACTTTGTGCCTCGTGAGCCTCCCTGCCATTCTCTGGCGTGAGGCTTTCCCAGCTCACAGTCAAGACCACCGCAGTCTGTCTAGTAAGATCTCAGGGCTGTGGGGTGTTTTTCGAATAAAAACCGCTCACTCCTCATTTATTTCAAGGGCTGTCAAAGGAAAGCCCTCTCCCTTAAGATTAAGAAGGACGAGACTGGTATGTGGTATTTGGATAACGCCTAGACTATCTCGAAGAATGTTGCTGGGGTTTGATTAGTCTGGGAATTTAAAGGTCCCCCCCCCAAAAAAAAAGAAATTTGGGGCGGACCCCCCTCCACCCAATGCTCACAACGTTAATTTTGCTTTTTGTGAGACCCGAGTGGAGGCGCTGAATGATTTAAACAAGGCAAATACCAATAAAGTCTAGGAGCACAGGAAGCGCGCGGCTGTTTGGCGAGCGCAGAGAACAGGAATGGTGTGTGTGTGTGGGGGGGGGAGCGGCACTGGTTTCCAAGATCTCTCTGGGGCGGCTGTGGAAGCACAGAGGACGGATCTGTGAGTAGTATGTGCCAGAGACCTAGAGCGTATTTTCCTGTCCCATAAAGCAGCATCTTTCCGGGGGAGGGGGTGCCTCCTCCTCTTCCGATAGAACGGCCTTCCCCGTAACCCTCCCGCCGTCACTGCCACCAGAGCTCACAGCTCCCTATCTGCAGCATCAGCGAGAAAAGCCTGGCGCGCAGGCTCAGTGCTCACAGCCGCAGTCTGGAGGCGGGGGCTGGCGCCGCAGCGCCTCAGTGGCCGGCGAAGTGGCAGTAACGCGATGTCCCCCTTACATTTGGAAGAATAGGGATTTATCTGAATGCCTGCTTTCTCCTGATCCAGATTCGAATGGGAAGGGGGACGCCATCGCCACTGCGAGGCTTTGCGGCGTGCATTCCGATGCGTGTCAGTGCGGCGCACTGCACTCACCCCACTAGTCGCCTTACTAGAATTTTGCAAACTTCAGGCAGTCGCGTGGGCAGAGAGACATTATACACTACCTCATCCCTTGTCAGACCATAAACTTGAATAACCCCCCTCTGCCTCTTCAAGCGTTTTCCCGCCGCTATTGGCGGGGGAGGTGCGGTGGGGGGAGGTGACTGAGTGGGTGACTCTTCCCTAGAGCTGCATATACTTCTTCTACGGTGACTGAGGGACAGGGGTGCAGCGCGTCCTTCACAGTGGAGTGGTTTTCTCCGGGAGAGGGAGGTAACCTCATCCCGCCCTCCCCACTTATCCCCACCGACTCCGCCGCGGAGCCAAGCCAGCGTGGGAAATGGGTCCGACGTGTGTTGCATGGGGAGCAGAGCTGCCTGGCCAGTACTGGGCCGGGAAACCTAGCTTTGCTCCCTCCCCCATCGGTCGCCAGCTCCGACCTTTCCGCCAGAGCAGCCAAGAAGTGGCAGCTCCTTTGCCCCGCAGAGCGGTTCCTGTGGAAGAGAATGAAATGGGCGGGAAGAGGGTGAAGGGAGGTAAGGGAGGCACCGAGGAACCCTCCCTGCGCCCTTGTGGCGGCCACAGTTCCCGGTCTTCTTCCGCCCCCTGTCTGGGCGCTGAAACCGTCACACCAGCCTCCAGCCCGTGCGCAGGGTGAATGAAGGCGAGCAGCAGTTTCCCCCCCACCCCCGCCCCATTTCCGCAGTCTTAGTGCCAGTGTCACAAGTGCTCAGCAATTTCATTAAATGGAACCCGGGGACTTAATCCTCCCAGTAGCAGACCTCACCAGGGGAATGTGATATCCGGATTCTCTCCCACCCACAGACCCCACCCGGCCCCTCAGACCCGAGGCTGCTTTTATCTTCTCAACCTGAGAGGCAAGGTTCAGGAGGAAATGGGATCAAAAAGTGTAACCGGCTGCAAGAAATTAAACAGCTTGCGTTGTCTCTGCTGCTGCCGCCGCCGCCGCGGCTTCTCTGGCAGACAAAACCAAATACCAGTAGTGTTCTCAAGCCTGCATTGATCAGTAACGGGACGTCATCTCTTGGAGAAAGCAAAATGTTTGAGGGACTACTGAAACGCTTGTAAGTCCCGTTTCTTTGTTGATGATTTAAACGAAATTCTCCTTGATAAACCTAAATATGAAATAAATCAGATATAAAATGAAATTGATTAAAATAAAGATATTCCATACTAATATATGTCTAATAAAAGCTGGATTACTTTTCTTTGTCAAATACCTTCCGCCAAACCGAACAATTCAAATACTTTTTCAGTTAAGAATATCTGTGACAGAGCGGGAAATAAAATAGTTTTCCGTCCCTGATGTGGCTTGAGCCTTAAAGAAGAAAACTGGACGGAAGTAAGGACAAGAAAAGTTTAGGGTAAGACTTCGAAGCAAGTGCTAGAGGAAGTGTCTCGGGGGGGGGGGCGGGGGACTTTCATTTATAATTGACCTTCTATTAGTCACCAGAACAGGAGGAAAAGGTTAAATACAGTAAACATGATAGCCAGTCCTGGAAAGAAATACAAAGCGGTTACAAGGGAAAAGGAGAAAGTGACTCAAGAACTCCACCAAGGGACAAACAGAGGAAATGACACCCGATTTCTCCAAATGCTTTGACCTTTCATCCCTAAGGAAAGGATCTCTTCCAGCCCCTCTTATATAGGTGCGGATGTCCATAATGTCTATGTGATCAGCGGTTTCCCTATGTACTTTCGTTAAATTTGATACCTCTGCCTTTCTTCTCTAAGTACTTATACATGCTTTCCCATTAGGCATATACTTTTAAACAGTAAGCAGAACAATTCATAAACATTGTCTAGTACCAAGTACAATTCGAGGTCTTGGATAATTCAGAGGCTTTGGTCACATTGTTGCAGACTGAAATCTGTGAGTGCAATACCAAAGCATAGTAGACTGAAACGACTGAATAATTCATTGCAATAACAGTCTTTTGATGGACATTAAAACTCAGCAATTTAAATAAGGAAACCACAGATTTCCTTTTAGGCAGGTAGTAACTGCTTCCTTCAGCGGTTGTTTAATTGGTCTCTAGCCAAGAAATAACATTTTCTGTGCTGTTTAAATCATGTATGCAGCGCTATATGCTACAGCAGTAGAAGCAGAACACAAGTTAGATAATTCCACGAAAATGCTTCTTACAATCTATTGGTTAACTGTAAAATACTGAACCAAAACTGGTATGATATCTATGTTTGCAAAGGAAAAAAATACCTTGCAGATAAAATTTGTTTATATAAATATTAGCTCATAAACTATGTGACTTTAGATTTCATTAGAATGTTTTATGTTTTAAAATAATTCAAAGAACTTGATAGAAGTGATTTCTACTTTAATATTGGCAAAGATTTATGGTTGGTTGCTTTCCCATTTATACAGTTATAATTGCCAAAACATTCAATATACACAGGTTCCCAATTTACACATCACATTAAAAAGGTCCAATTTATTACTACAAGAGAAACATTGTGCTCTATTTACAACATAATTTATGTGATATTTCAGATTTATTAATTTTCACACATTATCAACAACATTGAATTTGGAAAGAAAAAAGAATTTTGCCAAAGGTAGATG